GGGGGGGGGGGGGGGGGCGGTGTATCTCCTCCCTCAGACCAATCAATCTCGCTGAATCAACATGTGTGACGTGACGAGAAGTCCTGACGATGTTGCCATCGCCGTGCTCTTTTCCGCCTGGAAAAGCAAGCGTGCATGTATGTGTGGCCGGTGAGCCACTTCCGGCATCGGTGTGTTTGTACGCATCGGCAGCTTGTATGAATCAGGGGGGCCATTTTCTGTCATCGGCCACTACTTTTCATTGTGCCTCTTGAGATTTGTTGGAAACGAAAGCGCCTTGCTGCGCACCGGTCGAGGTGTCACCTGAACTGATTGATCGCCACACCACGAAAAGCTCTAGATTAACGAATTTGGAGCTCCGTAAGCGACGATGCAGAGCTGAAAAGTGACTCGCGAGCGAACTCGACAATCGATGATCTGTTTACCTTTCCGCCGCAAGGCTTTCTCTCCCGGAACGGAAATCAATGCGACTCGCAAGACCCGACCACGACAGCGACAACATCGCCGCCGACACCCATTTACTGTTGACGTGATCGCTCGCTTGTTGTGCCGTTTCCTCGGCACAAAGGAGACACGCGCAAGCAGCATGTTGTTGCCGTGATTTCCCCGAAGAAGGCGTCGGGCGTAGCGCCGGTGGAACGGAAATACAAAATGCTACCATGATTCCCCTAGGTAGTTGTCGCGCGTAGGGACGCCGACACGACGACATATGCCCAACCAAGGCGCTTCACGCGCTCCGTTCGCAGACCCTTAACAGTTCGGTCAGGTTCCGCCACCCCCGTGCCCCAAGTAAACAGGTGTGGGAAGGGCTGCCCCGAGGCCTTCAGAGAGTGCTCCTGCTGGTGACCATGGTGGGAGCTCAACGTCGGCGATGCGCTGACGCGAGCGGGTCATCCACCGCAGAACCCGACACGTGCGACCGCGTGTCTGGGCAAGAGACCACACCACGGCCGAAGACGGTGCATCGCGGGAGTGGTAGTGGTGGATGAGATGATGGTGGATGACATGCTCTAGGATAGGACGGTGGCGCGCTCCCCGACCGGACTAATCGTCGCGAAACTGCGCCGATAGAGGGTGCCCGCTGGCCTTAAAGTGCCCTCACATTTTCCTGCGTCCGGTTGGTTCGTGCACCCGCCGTTGGCCCCGCTCGAAGCGTGACTGCACCTAACGTTGAGAAAGGATGCCCATAGACTGGAGTCGGAGTTTGGGGATTTTCTGCCCCCGGAGGTGTCAGCGACGCGTTTCTCCTTTCTCCGTCGAGCCACCAACCGATTGATCCGCCGATGGCGTATGGTCGACCAATCACACCAAACACACAATACGGCACTTTGGGGGGAAAAGCCTGAGTGGACGCTACTTGCATGATGCCGCGTCAAGTGTGCGATGAACTCCTTACGGGCCCTTTTCTTTGCTTCCACTGCCGAAAAAAACGCGGGCAACAAAACACCACTAAAGCCTCTGCCAAAGGCGCGAGGTGCTCAATAGCACGTCCGCCTACGACAACACACACACACAACAAACTTTGGTCCTTCGACCACACATCCAACAGCTACAAGTACTGGTAAGTCAGCGGCGGACGGGGGTGGCTGCCGGTGTCTGCTTCTCCCTCCCATTCTGCACAACAAGACTGGCTAAAAGTACAAATATCACACCACTAACCCTTACCCCATGTCGAGGCTGCGGGGCAAAAATCATCCCCCAGCCTCAACATAAAAACTTACACCGCTGGGGGGATCAGTCACGAGCAGTCGATCTCCTGCCCATTCGGTGAGAGCGCGTGTACAGCCGCCCAGAGTGCTAACAACAAACAAATTGCGCGCCCAAGGAAACCCCACTTCTTCTCAACCCCACCCCTAACAAAACAATCCTACAAATAAGTACCTGGTACAAAAAGCTAGTGCCCTGGACACATGTTCCTTGCAGCAGACATCTCGCAAACAAAAATCGTCACGCCCGGCTGAGCCTACTCTTTTCGTTGGCGCAAGGTGAGGTTCCCTCCCGTCCCCACGGACGTACCAAATGTCGGTGCCAAAACGGCTCAATTGATTAACTTCCTGCGGCTGGGTCAGGGACATCGTTGTCATCGCCCCCCGGGAGCTCTACTTGCTGGACCACCACGTAGACGATGATCGCCACCAGTATGGTGACGATTAGACACCCGAAGCATTGGATGAACTGAGGGAGAGATAGAGAGAGGGGGAGAGAACGAAAGAGAGAGGGAGAGGGAGACATACACACACAGAACCAACAGACAGAGACAGAGACCACAGAGAGAAACACAGAGAGAGAGCGAGCGAGCAAGAACGCGCGTTCGTGTTGGTGGAGGGTGGAGTGGAGGGAGAGATCTAGTTCACGTTAGCAAGCTCACCACAGACAGAAAGCGGAACGTTCGATCGGCGACAGCCAGCCAAACACCAAACGCAAGAGGCGATTGATTCTGCGCTCACACGCTTAGGAGTAGCTTTGGTATCATGTGTTGCCAGCCATCAACTGAGAATCCGCGTCAGGCCACGAGCGTGAACAAGACAGGGGCCACCACAACAGAACAAATCCAGGCGAAACCCGCACGGTCGGCATTTCTCAGCAAGAGAAACAACGAGGGGTTACCACTTGCCTTTTCGTTGTCAGTAGAGTCACTCCATGCCGCGTCGTGATAAAATGTCGTTCTGTGGATAGAGAGCGCTTGAGAACGCGAGACGCCCGCCGACGTACAACACCATACAGCTGTATCATACGTTGTGCGAGCAAGAGAAACACTTTCGCTCGACAAAATGCCTGTCCACATCACGACTCAAGAACAAAAAACAAAAAAACACGCACCTTATCGGTCATCATCCGCTTGGAGAAGACCTTAACCAGCCGGTCCGCCCTTGTCAAGAGCGAATCGATCTCGGTCACGTCCTCGGTGATGCGCGCGAGCTGCTCGCGCTGTTTGGTCAGCTCCACCGCGGTGGTGTCCGCCGTCGCTTCCGTCTCCTGGAGCACCCCTATCATGTTCTGTTTTTCGTCGTGTTCAGGAGCAGTCCAGGTAATTAGTTGCGGGTGACAGCTGTTTTTTTTTTTTATTTGGCAGCCGAGACAGACTTTGATGTGGTGTAATGTGTAACATCCACAAGAACAAGTGATCCCTCTCGAGTGGATTGACGAGAGAGCACAGCAGTGCCATCAAGGGGTGATGCGAGATCAAGATAAAAGCAGGCAGCAGGACCGACTCACAGCTCACTGCTTAGCTGCGGTGTGTGACGTTTCCCAAGCTCACACAGCTGACGTATTTTTTCCTCGAACAGCGCAGCTAACCTCAACAAATAAAGAACATTTAAAGATTTACAAATCTGTATACAGGGTGGTAATCGATTCCACCGCACTCCGTCCCACGCAGGCCCTTCGGGCAACGTAGAAAATTCCTCGCTCTTTCGACGAGAACAAACAAGACAAGACAAGGCAAAGGTGACAGTCAGCACGACCACCATCGTAGGACACCGCGGCATGGAGACATGCGTGTGCTATTTTGACCACCGCCCCCAAGTCATAGAACACCGTTCTGCAATGCATCACAAGACGGGCACCTCGAGAACCGCAGGTGCATGCATATGTCAAAGAAACGGGGCGCGAACGCAGCAGGTACAAATCGTGTGTGCACACTGGGGGTGTGAACATGCACCCCTGTTGAGCTTGCCCTTCTCTCTCAAACAGCTCAACTGACACCAGCGCACGGCCTCGAACAATATTCTACCCCGCAAAATTTATCGCGGCAAGCGCTAGTCGGGGCTGCATCGCTGACCACAAGGTTTGGCTGACTCCATCAGCTGGCACACAACGAGCGAGTTTGAGAACAAGCCAGAGTACCCCGTGGAAAACAGCAAAAGCCGGCAGATTTTGAGCGACTTGGGTGTTGTTGTGTTGCCATCGACGACAAAAATCACTTTGGAACCAAGCTAGGTACACACATGCGTCTGAAACCATCAGCAGCCGCAGCCGGCAGCCCGACCCGAAGCAGCGCGCGTAAAACGCAGGCGGGGTGGCGTACAAACTGCTCGTCGAGAGACAAGGCGAGACCAGAGTAGAACGCATCGTTTGTCGCCACGCAGCTAGAGAACCAGGAGTCTCCAGCCATGCAGCCCGCGTACACACCCATCCACTCATCACTGAGAGTATCGGGGGTGAGCTGTTCGGAATCTGTACATCGTAGGCGGCAGGAGGCTGCGTACGCATGGCTCGCGACAATTTTCAGACGTATGCATAGCAGTCATTAGGCAAAAATAGTGGCATGTACCTTGTAGGCCGCCTCCGTCTTATCCTGGTACTGGTCCGCCTCGGTCAGCTTCGCCTCCGCCGACTTACCCTGCGCCTCCCCGCTTTCCACGTCTCTCCGACCCCCGAATAGCTCGTCTCGCGTGCTGTCACCGCTTGCCTGCAGGCAGGCCGGGGGGGTGACGAGCCACATACACGCGCCCAGCGGCCCGGCAACAAAACAAAGGGGTACGTGCGGTACAGCAGTGCAGTGCGTAAATCGGCACAGCCGTCCGTGTTGCGCTCTGAAGTCGAGATTTTCGGGGTTGGGTGTTCCCTGTCGGGGGGCGATTTCCAGCGCAAGATATCGCCATCGTCCAACACCACCTACATAAATGATTTGGGTTACGCCAAAGGGTCTCTCTCCCAGCGGTCTCTATAAACTAAGCGACAAACGGCAAGACCGACGGGGATGCCGAGCCACACCGCTCGCCACATCGCACCGCACTTGGCACACAACACGTCGCCTTCTGTACGTGGCGTGCTATCGTACCTTTGCGGCGTCGAATCTGCTTTGGAGCGTCGCGTAACGGGAGTCCTTCTGGGACTTTTCCAGATTGTAATGCGCCTGGTTGCGGCAGGTTGAGCAAACGGGGGGGGGGGTCTCTGGACGGTAAGCACAGGGTTACAACGGAGGGTGGGCGTGGGCATCAGGCATGGATTTAACACGACTAAATGCCCCCGCCCCCATAACAACCGAGGTGGCGGGGACGTGTTGTGACTCCCCCACTCCCCCCCTGTGAGCACCCCGGACACAAGAAACCGGCGCAAGCGAAAAAAACTTCCACACGTTCGGTGGATACAGAGGAGAGACGGCCCCGAACCGTCTACACACCGTGCCGACACGACCGCGCTCACACGAGTACCCGCAGCAAGCGGGAGGTAGGCTATCTACTGGGCCCAGGGCTCCAAAAGAGTACCGCTACTCTCACCACGGATTATCGTGACCATGAGTATACGCATGCTCTGCATCACTATGATTCGACATGTGCGCGCAAGTGGCTCCAACCAAATGTGGTCCATGGTGGATACGCATCTCCTCCGGCAAGGCGTGCAACCACCGTTGGGCACGGGCCCCTTGCCATCATTGTTGGTGTCGTCACAATCAAGACAGCTCTTATGTCCATCTAACACCTCCCTCTTCTTTCGTGCCGTGTATGCATACCACAACCCGATCGGTACCAGAAGCGATCCTTCGTGATCACGAGGCTTTCACCCAATCGGGGGACAAAACAAAAAGCCACGCTAGACCCAGCCCAAAGGTATGTAGTTCCTTCAACACACAAACATCCACGCACATGTACGTATGTATGCAACGAGATTCTTTCTCCTTCTCCAACACAACAGCAAGCCACACAAGTACTGTGACACACACAACATCAGGCACTCGTACATATGCATTCGAGATCCCTTCTCCGACACCAAAGCACACCACAACGCTGCTGCTCAAGTCCCCCAACTTAAGAACAGGGGTGTGTGTGTGTTGCCCAATGTCGTGCATGCATGCCGTAGTCGTTAGACCGTTGACCTCGCATCCCTACAAAGCCGGAACAGAGCACGCCGGGTCCTCACCGGACCAGGCTAGCGCGCGAAGCGCCGTGAGGTACAGTACTCCGGGGAGGCGGACTTTTTTTTTTTTTTTCCGACACGCACCTTCGTGTTGGGGTCTTTGAGAAGCTTGATCTCGAGGTTGTAGCTCCTCCTCATCCCCGCGAGACGCTTGAGCGACCTGCTCGCTTCCGACATGGCGTCCTCCCGTGCGTCCCCGCTGCCGGACTCCATGGTGGCGATGAAGCCATCGAGCTGGTCCAGAGTCTGCGGCAAACCACCAAACACCACCGCCGGCAATTGATACGGCGTGGTTGTAGGTAAAAGATATCTAGAGTCTGCGGCGAAGCAAGCAAGAAAACGCCACCACCGCCAATTGACAGGGCGGGGTATGAATAGGCAAGCCATCGAGTGAGTGAGGTAATAGTCGAGAGTCTGCAAATAAAACAAACCCAGCAGTGGGCGGCGCTGTTTAGTGCCGGTTGAATAGTGCAGGTGTTTTCGGCGGGCACAGACGGAATAGATACACAGTCACGGCAGGCCGTGGAGCTGGTGCCCTTCGAGTCAAAAGAGGGAAGGCGACCGCTTTGCTGATCCCCACCTTGCCGTAGCTGGTGTCCCAGTACTTGACATCGCCGGACGCCATGGTGGCTGCTGCAACTCCAAACAGCAGCAGCCCCCCCCCGCCGAAAGATTCAAGGCAGACAGATATCGAACGGTACTGCTCTGCAGGTAGGAAGGAAAAAGGTGGTCAAAAGATGAGTCGAGAAGCACGACAAGGGGAAGTCAAGCCGTTGCAGGAAGAGCGGGGCGGGGAGCTCAGTTCGGTTACTGGCATGATTCCGATGGTCCTCAATGTATACCGCAGCGTCATCTATACCCAAGGAAGAAGCTGCTGCTACAATATCACTATCAAGTCTATTCGCAAAAGTGAGCAAAATAGAATCATATGCTCAAGCCAGCAACTTGCTGAACTGAAGGTATAGGGCGACACCCACAGGCCTTTGACCTGACCGTGCAGCATCACCTTTCACTACCAAATTTTCCGGGGCTGCAACACTACGCCGACAGCAGGGCAGTAGTGTGGTGGCAGGGACTTGGGCGTGCCTACCCTCTAAGGCTTCACGCCCAGCGGTCCTGCCGTGTGTGCGTACACTCATCGGAATACATTCTCACTCTCCTTTCCTTTTTCCGTCGCACAGAAGCGTCTAAAAGGTTAGCCACCGACCCTACTCGCCGCTGCAGCATTACTAGGATAAAATAAAGAAGCCGATGCCGCGTGCTCTTACCCCTCTCTGTCCTTCTCCTCTAAGCCCGTCCGTCGTGTGAGCCTGGTGGCGCTGGTTGGCGCTCGGTTGAGGGGGGTCGACGACGGGCGAAAAGTTGCGGTGGACATGGTATGCGGTATCAGCTATCTGCGTTGCCCCGGCTGGGCGCCCTCTTGTGTCACTCGCATCCCGCATCCTACAACAAGCATACTTGTAGAGCAGGCTGATTTTCTGGAGGATGCCTCGGCTAGGAGATGACCAGAATATGGCCACGGCCTACCCCGACCGAGTGAGCACGAACCTGCGAGGGAGCTGGATGAGGCAGCTCGCGATGACGGTGGTGGGCACTCTCTTGTTGTACAACGTGTTTTTCAAAGACTACAAGGTGAGAGCAGAGCTGTTACTCGCTGTACCAACCCATGTCATGTCATGTAGCTGCCTCGCCAACACCAGCAGCGTGCACTAGAAGCTTACGCAAGGGACAGCTTCGACTCTTGTTTCGTTTCTGGCTGAGACGAGACAGAGATAAGACACGAGAGACGAGAGATGCAAAGCTCCAGTTTCCAAGAACGCGCCGCACTTCAACGCCGAATCTCTCCGTCGTTGGGCAAAACTGCTTCCCACACTTTCTGTAGAGTACAAAAAGTACACCTCAACCTTTTTCACTCACGTCTCATGATGGTGCCACATCTACAAGCCAGAGGCACTGGAGACTGCTGTTTGCAAACATGGGATGATATGCCTGAACGCACCCTTCGCGAGCAGGAGAAGTGCGTCGAACCTGCTGTTGCTGTTACCTAGAAGTGCAATTCAAGCCGTACCTAACGTTGTGGTGGAGAGTGGAGGAAAGGAGACATCCAAGCGAGCGGATGTTCACGTGTGTGCTACAAAGCAGCAGTACCGGTCCAAGAGATGTTTGTTGGTTGGTCTTTTCGTTGGCTTTGTTTATCTCTCTCTCACACACACATAACCTTTCATACACACACACCTTCGCTGCTGCTTATAGCTGATGCTACTGGCAGCAGCTGCTTGTCAACACTAACCAACCATGTGCACGATTGCAAGCACGGATGCTGCTGCCGTTGTTCGTGCGACCCACGCTGCCGCCTGTGGCTTGGCTTCACCATTATAGTCTACTGTCCCTCTGGACCAGCTAAGCATGGATATATGATTGCAAGCACGGACGCTGCTGCCGTTGTTGGTGCGACGCACGCTGCCGCCTGTGGCTTGACTTCACCATAGATAATATCATAGCGCGAAGAGGGAGTGGAGGATCCCAGAATATCTGTCGTTGATTTCTATTGACTTGCGGACCCCTCGGGGCCAGTTTATTTGAGTGTACCTTTTTAGGGTAAGTTAACCTGTGACCACGGGAATCGACCGCGTCGAGTGTTGGATCAGTACGGACATACGAAGGTACTGGGTAGAGAGAGATCGGAACGGTTTTTAATGTGAAGACAACAACAACAACAACAACAACAACAACAATATCCATCTGGGCTACTGCCGTGTGAACAATTGCCGCCTTCCACCGCCAACACCCCGTTTTCCCGTCGTCGTCCGCCGACTCACACAAGGAGCACCCCCCCCCCCCCCCCCCCCCCTCCCCCTTGGGAAACCTTTTTTATTTAAAAAAAATAAAAAAAAAAAGGGTTTTTTCAAAAGGGGTTTTGGGGGGAAATTTTAAATTTTTTTTTTTAAAAAAGGGGGGTGAATTTTTATGGAGGAAAAAAAAAAAAAAAAAAAATTTAATTTTTTTTTGGGGCGAAAAAAAAAAAAAGGGGGGGGGGGGGGACTCCCTGGGGGTTTTTTTCTTTTCCCCCTTTGGCGTTTTTTTTTTACCCCCTTTGGTTTTTGGGGTTTTTTTTTTTTCCGATTTTTCACATATTTTTTTTTTTTGGGGGGGTATTTTTTTTAGAAGTTATTTTTTGGGGGGAAATCCAAAAGGGGGTGGTTTGGGGGTGGGGGATTTTTTTTACCACTGTTGTTTTGGAGGGTTTTGGGGGCGTTTTTTTTTTTTTTTTTTTTTTTTTTTTACACTGAGAATTTTTTTTT